GTAGTCTTCAATTTCAGGTTGTCCTTTTATGACTGCATTGTTTTTTCGGTAAGCTTGAACTGTGGTGCATTGTCATTTAGCATTTCTTCAGGTAACCTCTTGCGACGAGTCGTCGAAACTCCTATAGGAATGCAGCAGCACTGAAATCATTGATCAGCTCCAAATGAATCGCTTTCGTGGAGGAGCATGTGAATAAGCAGATCCAACATTTCCTTGACCCCTCCACACTTTTCAAATTGACCGATCCCAAATAATCTAACCAAATACTCTGGAAAGCTCTGGTTTGCTGCACCCGGTGGGCTGTATACGGAGGAAAATGGGGTAAGCAAATCGCTTCGCTTTCCATCTGCGGCACAACACACAGATCTGAATTGCTTTCCTTACAATGCTACTTTCCTTTGCTACCCAGTATGTCTGGCGGACTTCTGACAAGGTTTGCGCGCAACCGCTATGGGCATTCTCTTCATGTATTTTCCAAAGATCAGTCCTGTGGTTCTGCTCACTATTGGTAGATAAATTGGACGGATTGCTGCTGGTGTTATTATAAAACTGCATTGCTGAGTCGATCACCGCATCTCTGTAGTCCGTGTTCATCCTCATACAACTCCCATCTTTTCTTCATCATTTATCCCACTTCTTTGTTCCTGCAGCAGTATACATCGTACCGTAATCTGACAGTCAGCAGCAGTTAAAGGACCTGTGATGGACGTATGATCAAGCCAACTGAACTTCTCCTTTGTTACCTTTTTAATGAATCGTAAAAAGTATCCTGCGAAGCCCACCATCCGGTACAAATTACTGTACCTTTCGGAATCAATCCAGAGCAAACTTGGGTCGCATTCAATTTTCATTGATACCACACCTTCAGAAACAATGTCTTCAGATGTTACCGTTCCAGAATAACATTCATCAGGGTCCCAATTTGGCCACATCGTTTCATCACCCAACCACGGGGACCCTTTCCACCACCTGAGATTGGAGAACAATTCTTCTGGAGTGATACCCCTTGTAGCGATATCCGCTGAATTGTCACAGTTTGGGACATACTTGAATAATGCAGAGAATTTCCGTATTTCATCCAGACGGTTTTTAACAAAACGTGGTTGGATTTTTCCTTTATCTCGAATCCAGTGCAGGCCACATTTCGATTCATTCCACATGTACTTTTTGGCTCTTTCTAACTCCGCTTCTGTAGCAACAAAATTCATTGCTCGCACTCCAATAAGCACTGCAAGCAGTTCGAGATGCGGAACTGTTAAACCTTTGACTGAATAGAGTTTTGATTTCTCAAATATCAAATAAGTCGACCGAGCCACTGCTTAAATAAAGTGCCATGGCGTATGCTTTCGATGATGCGCCTACAAACGCATGCAACTAGAGTTTCCCGCTTTTTACCAAGTAGCGCGGAATATTTACACTCACACGCTTCCAAGAATTCATGAGATCCCCCATTTAGAGACATCTTCGTCCGAAATTGCTTCGTCTCAGTTGTAATTTCTCTTCCATAAGTCCTGCATGTACAATTTTAGGGGAAGGACAGCAGGAACTATAAATCCCAACGGATCGTATATACCGGCCACGTATTGTAGAATCTGCCTCTTCGTCAGACAATTTCCTTTGCATGATTGAATGTTGAAAAACAACGCATCGCTGCTAACATTCCACTTTATTCCGAGAATCTTCCTCTTTTCAGTGGACTGCTGACGGTCTTTTTCAGGAATTAATTCATTTACTTCACTATCATTCACAAAGAATTCCCGAACACTTATTTTTGCTTCACCGAATAACTGTTTCAATTCTCGGTAAGTTGTGATCGCCTCCTCTCTTGTTTCGACTTCGAGGATCACATTATTAACGTACAAGTTTTTCAGAACTTTCATTGCGGTCTCTGTTCCCCTGCTTCTTAAGTGGTACTGGAGTGTGGCGTCCAAAAGGAAGGGGCCCGCCACTACTCCGAAAGGAACTCTTCGAAATCGATAAATAATCAAATTTATTCTTGAAAACTGGTTTCGAAATTTCTGACCCAGAAAAACCTCGTGCAATCTCGGTCAGCTCCATTCAGCTCAAGCTGATGGAAAGCCTTTTCAACATCTCCCAGTATAACTAATTTCATGAAGCGGAATCGCATTAGAATATCGCATAAATTGGGCAGCATGACCGGCCTGCGACAAATTAAATCATTTAAACTCTTACCATTGGATAATTTTGCTGAGGTACCGAATACCATACGGATTTTCGTTGTTATTCTTTGAGAAGTTATCACCGCTTGGTGTAGAGGAACATTCTCCGCCCGTGTGTTCATTCGTTCTTTTTTCCGTTCGTTTTTAACGCACATCGTTACCGTTCATTTTTATCGTTCGTTTTTACCGCCTATGTTGCGGAAGACTTTAGCAGAATTAAATTCCGATTCAGAGATTCAGAGAGGAGTTCGGTGGTTCAGTGGTTGCGACAATTCTTCTCCTGTCTTATTCGTCCGAGCTCTTAGCAATCCTAATAAAGTGTAGATGCCATGGATTATCTCAATCGCTTATCACTCTTCCTTCGTTAGCTGACAAACATGCCAGCTTTACCTAAGAGGAAGAGTAAAACGGAAATTTCCGCAAAATGAACTATTTATTCGTACTTCAGGTATAAGCAAGAGAATGTTCCACATACCAAATCAATAAGAAATATCGTCGTGCAGCGGCGAAAATACCAGTATCCAGCGGCGGAAAGTACCAGCACCAAGCCTGCGGATCGACACGGCCTGCCAAGAACGCCACCTCGTTTTCAACCGTAGTTCCCAACTTAAGCCCTGTAGTCGCTCCTCGATTTGTTTCGTCAACATGTTTTTCATGTTTGACAAAAACATCACATGTTCAGATTTAAGAAAACATATCACCACGTGTGCAGATTCGCGAAAAAATAAGTGATGATTAATCGCTAAGAATCAAAACAAGAACATAAACCACAGAAATTAAAAACTGTTTCGTAAACATCGCTTAACGCGACAACCTATCTACACGGTTTATCTTCGCCCATTCTCACCGCTTACCACTGTTTAAATGCAAAAATAGATCAAAGGCAATAAAGTAAAAGTAGACCAAATCGAGCCAAGAATAACGAATCAAGAGCAGACTAGAAATCAACTTGTTTGCATTTTATTCGACCGATCTTGTTCTGCCTTTAATTTGACCTACCTTCGTTTTACTTTCGACCTGCTCTTAAACTGCCTTCGACCCGGCTTTAGCCTGCTCTTTGTCACTTCTATTTCTAATCTGTCTTTGATCTATTTTCGATCAACTTACGATCTACCTTTAAATTGCCTTTATCATGTTTTTAACCCGCTTTTGATCAAAAAAAAAGAAAAAGTTACTTCGGCTCTTTTCTTCCGACTCAATAATGAATAATGCTCAAAAGCGTGAAATAAATTAAACTAGGCCAAAAGCAAAGCTCGCTAACCGTAACTATTCCAGTGCATTTTAATAAACAAGTGGTTTGTGCTTAATGAAGAAATGGAATCCATATCTTTTATTTTTTTCTGAAAGATGGAAATGAAGATAAACAAAAATAGAAATGGCATTAAAGATGTCCGGCGGTAGTGCGTGAAAAACTGAGCATGATCCAGAATGATTCGGAAATAACCGTGGAAGTGATGCTTAACTGGCTTATGCGTCATCCAAACGCAGTTACTCTTTCGAAAAGTTTTTAAAACTGATGCCTAGCTACTTTCCGCTCCGTCGCCATTCACGGCGTCTTCTTGAGCTGAAAAGCATATCTACATCAGTCAAATGGACAAAACTAAAAGAAAGTGGATTTGTTTCTTTAAGTTGATACTACTATATTTAATAGCTGTAGAAGTGGTAGACACGTTTTCTGTGATCACTCACAGTGAGTGTGAACAAACATACAAAACAAATAAAAACCGGCTGACTCAAACCCATGCTGTGCTTCAGGACTCCAAAACCGAAAAAAGAATGCGAGAAGACCAAAACGCCAAGATAAAAGATCTTAAAAAAAGACATTGGATGCAAGCTGATTAAAGTATCAAAATAAACAGGTTAGGTGAAAGGAACAGCAGGCAATACAAAACAGAATGTACATTAAGGGAAAAGGCCTGATGCAAGAAACAATAAAATGTTTCAGCATAAAGCTGCGGAGAAATCTGATTTATTTTAATCCCAGAAATTATATAATTTACTATTATATAGTCTGGGATAGGGAAGTAACAAAACACTGGAAACCCAAATAAAACGACACAAAACCGTTCTGCTGATAACAACTATCCAACGATATATTATGCTGTAACCTAACCCAGCAAAATACTGATACCGGTAATAAGAGAGAAAGCAAACCTTGATCAAGTTGCCTGAGTAATGTGCTCATGTTGCTAGTGATATCGTCTGCGGCATGAAGAAGATCACCCTGCAACTGTGCGGCCGGTAATGAGCCGGCTCTCTGCATTGCACGCTCCCGGAATGCAGTCGAAACACGGCTTCCAATTCCCGATAAGGATTCCGGAATCGCTCCCATGCTACCTCCTCGTGAATGCTATAAAAAAAGTATAAGCAAGAAATGAAGATCAACAAAATTGATAAATATGAAGCTCCCAATGTTAGCGTACGATTAACACATGTGCTACGAAGAAGTGCGAAACTAATACAAATGAAAAAATTGGCAATGCCAGTGTGTCACTAGCACACGCACGTCGACAAATATCAAATAAATAGCGCCGCGCACCAGGGTAGTTGGTGCGATCATGTGTTTTGTGTAGTCCCGACCAGCAGACTTTTGACTGCTAAGAATTTTCACTGTTTTACACTTTGGTTTGTAAAAAAATAGTCGATATGCTGTTTGGTTCCTAAGCTGCGAAATTTCCCACTGAAAATCTCACGCATCAGTACGTGAAACGCAAACGCATGTGAAAGCTGAATTTGAAGTCTTCGATGGTGAATACTTCTCCAAAATTTCAACCCCTAGTTTTCCGACATCCGAGTGACTTTCGCGCCAAAATTTTCACGTGATCATACGATATGCCCCAACGTATCTGGGAGCTGGGTTTGAGTTTGTTAGGTCCCTTCTTGACAGAGAACATTCTACCGAAATTTTCAGCCTTTTAGCTCTTCTCTCTCCCTAGATAATAATTTTTTTCGCCAAAATTTTTTTGGGGTCGTACGTGATACTCAGGCAAATGGGAAGACTGAAATTTAGATTTGCGGTATCTCACACACGCGGGATATATTATGCAAAAATTTCAGCTTCCCGACTTCCGTGGCTCCCGAAATAGCAATTTTCCCAAAGATTCCACGAGCCATACGTGGCACCCAGGCGCGCGACGCGCGAAAGAGCTTAGTTTTAATTTGCTAGGTCGTAGTGAAGCAGGAGACATTACCATAACATTTTAGATTCCTGGTTTTCATGTTTCTCAAAGCAATGATTCTCCTTGCCAAAACTTTTGCGGGATCGTATGTGGCAACCAAAGGCAAGTGACAGCTGAATTTAGGCTTACGAGGCTGCATGTGAGCGGGGAACATTCTACTACAATCCCAGCTTTCTAGCTTCCCTGGTTCTCGAGATAATAATTTTTCCCGCGCTAAAACTTCCGCCGAGCCGCATGTAGTGCCCAGGGGGCACATGAAGACTGAATTTAAATTTGTGGGGTCGCAATTGGACGGGAAAAACTTTCTGTAAAAATTTCAGCTTCCTATTTTCTCTGGTTCTCGAGCTGAAATCCACGGATAAAATGTATTCAGAACATACATACGTAGATAGATACATATGCAGATGCAAACACAAATACAAGGTCTTGACAATATACGTTTTGAGCAGCTGTTGCACAGTACAAAACAACTTCCCTATTCACTCAGTGAGAGGCGAAGACGTTCGGAGGGAGCGCAAATAGTAACAGATGCCAAAATCAACCATTCATCGGCAAAGTTGTCGATGGCTCCCTTTTTCGAGAACTGGCAAGCTGATGGTGGGTTTGACTCTCTAGAATGTGCCAGTAGCAATTCAGCAGACAATTACTAAACCTCCGCTCGGCCGGCGTCGTAAACGATTTGTGGAAAATTTTTTCCGCCCACGACACGTACTCCTACTCCACTGTGGTGCAAAGAGCATTGGATGTCTCAGGTGGTATGAGGGGGAAGGCAGATTTCGCACCTGGGGATTCGAGGCAGGAGGAAGGAGTTGAGTGGATAGACTGAATGGCTGCATGGCGCAGATCCCTTGAAGATTGGATAGGTCTGGTTTTTACTGCGGCTACCCGAGGTAAGGAAAGGGCTGAAATATTACTTGCTTCCAGAGTGCTCTTACAGTGGGTACAGGGAGGCGCTTAGACACTGTTAAGAGGTCGAGGCAAGAATTGAAGATAGCAGTAGAGAGGAGAAAATAAGGCATTATAAATAAAAGTAAATAAAATCAAACTTGGGCGCACGAATAAAAGCAAAACCAAAAAAAGTGGACCTGTAAGGGAGCTCAAAAAAGTAAAAGCTAAAGAAAAAAATTGAGTATACGCAAGTGGAAAATGTTCGATAAAAAACCGTTATCAGTAGCGGATTTCTCTATTTATGAAGCTGATGCTTAAGCAAAGTTAAAGGCGCATGGGACAAAATGGCATGGGTATCAGCATATAAATAGGGAAGCTCACTACTGCAGACGAGCTTTTGTGAGACAATTTTCACTCGATTAAGCTCAGTTTTTATTTGCTCTTTTTTCTTTAACTTTTATTCCTAGGTTCCGATTTTCTGACTTCGATTTTGTCCGTTTTTTTTTCACAATTTCAGGTTTCCTTTTTCCACTTTACTCTGCGATTCAGCCGCCGAACACTGGGTAGCGCGACAAGCGCTCTTGGCAAAGTACCATGTGGTACTGGCGAGCGGCACCGCGAAACAGCGTTAGCGGAGAAGCTAGAGCATCTCTTAATGGCAGCCGAGCCGAGATTTGGTTGTCCCGCTGGCGGATTTGAACCTTCGACCTACTGTAGGACAACAGCGCCATCCTACTACGCCAT